TTGCCTTCAGTTTAAAGTTATGCTGCACTAAAGTAAACAAGGTAGCAAGCCCCCTTTAAACAATCTATTCTTCTTCAAAGGACTACGTAATTTAACAAAATGCAATGAAGAAATAATTCTATTAACAAACCTGATTTGTGATTTGTGGCACAGAAGTTTACTCAGGTAAGTTATATTCAAAATGCTTAAAAATGGTCTCTTAGGACAGACCTGAGTGGAAATACAACTATTTCTTGACATCCAAGGACACATGTCAGAACAAAATGAAGACAAAAGATTGACAAAATAATAAAAGGGACCAGGTAAATTAATTTCTCAGCAGCTCAACCTGAGATTAAGAGGAGCATTAAAATCACTGTATATGGAACAGTCAAGCCTTGATCGATTGATCAGATCTAAGTCTAAATTGTATGTTTTTTTTACAGCATAAGTTAAGAGTTAAGAATACACCTTTTATTTTCCAAAATGATTCTACCTTACAGTTGTTTACAGTCCTATTTAAACATCTTAGAGAAAAACAATTTAAACTGCAAACAAATAAACCCTGTGGTCCCTCTTCTAATGGTGAAGAACCACCCCAGTTGAAGAGCAACAGCAGCATTATCAAGAGCTTTTCCTTGAAATCACCAAGTTAGAGACGTTGTCTATGCTGTAATAGATTAAAAGTGGAAGTGAAACAGGGCTGTCAGGAAAAGAGGGGAAAGTGGAAGAGGAGAGGTTACATTTCAGTCCAAATTTATAGGCAGGAAACCTATCGTTCTCAATAAAGTAAAGATAGCAACACAACATATGTTACTGTTTCACAACAGGTGATTTTTCTTAGTATTTTTTTATTTTTTTATGTTAGCAACACTGGTTGCTTATCACCATTAACTGTGACAAGATATGTCAGACAGATTCACAAATAAGTAGATTTTTTCTTTGTCAGTCACAGAGGAAGCCTGTTTACTGTTGGCTAAAGTAAATTAGCGGAAAGGGGGAAAAAAAGCGGAAATTATTACCAACTTTAGGCATGTTGGGGGCAGTCCCCTCCAGTCCTTCAGAAAGTTACGCCAGTGGTGCTATCATCTAATGTATACAATTACTATGAACCTTCATAGTAGGGTGCTGCATTGCTGTCTGTGAAAGGGTTGAATAATTTCCGCCAACAGATGGCCCCCAAAATGTGGCCTGAGTCACAGATCTGGACTTGATTCACATTTGAGCCTCGCCCTGCTGTGCTCTCTACAGTCAGGGGTTATTGGAAGCCTCGGTTGATCTCATAACTTCACTACTGTGCGGATCGTGCTGACATGGGTGAGTAGCCTACATCTGGTTCATTAAACGCTTAAAGTAGTCTTAATCGGTCTTTGAATTGGGTAAAATTAACATTTTATATCTGGAAAATCAAAGCTTGCTTTTGTTTTGACGTCAGCTTTTAAAAATAAGGAGCAGCTCTGGCACCGCTTTTCTCCCGTCAAATGCCATCTAAAATTGGTCAGGTTACCAGGGGCCACATCGCCCTGCAGCTGGGGTCCGATGAGGCTCCACCTCGGAAGCAACATCAGATCAGCCATGAATCAGTTTCGTTTTTGCAAGAATCCAAGAAAGAAGACGGTGCTCTTTCAAACACCCCCTTTTTATCTTTTATCACACACACCTAAACAAAGACGTTTAATTTGAAATTTGGAGTCTGATAAGTTGTTTTTACTTTCTATTTCATAAGAATCTAGTTCTTATTTATTTTTTGATCTGGTATATAATTTAACTTTTCCACTTTGGGGAAAAATATAAAATAAGATCAATTGCAATGGGAAACAGTCAGGTTTCAAGTCACACATCTGGTATATAGCAAGCAGGACAGACCGTAAAAAAACTTTAATGAAAAATTAAAAAATAAAATACTTTACTCATGATATGAGGACAGGAAGTCGGAAAACTGATATGCAGATATCATTCTCCCGTTTATGATAAAAAGAGGAAAACAAAAACTTTGACAAACTTTACAGATATCCCAGCATTTATTATTATTTTCTTTTCTTTAGATGCAGTTCCCATTCTGTTTTTAATATAGTCCTATACGAATTCTCTATCTGTTCTGCTTTGAGATGCTGCACAAAGTCAATAAGTGGGGCTTTACTTTATATCTGTGCCAGTGGTTATATATTTGTTTATTTATTATTAATAACTTTTCATAATCTGTCCATGTCAAATGTGGGCAATTGTTTTAATTTGTGTGTGGCACAGACACAGAAATGGGAAAAAAATTTGATGTGCTCAATATTTTGTAGTCTACGGAAGCGTAATTATTTAAAACTGGAATCAAAGAGAAGATCACACCAGAACAGCTGATTTTTTGATAAATAAAACAGACTTGCACATTCTGCATGCAGCAGCCTGAGCTAAATTGAGATGAGATCCTATAATCCTATAATTTAAAATAGATACAAATAGAATAAATATTTTTCCTTTTTATTTGTTTTTAATATATTCAATTTAGTAATGCAATGAAAAATGTGTTCATATCTAACATGAAATGAAAGTTATATCAAGTAATTAAAATGGACAATTCGAAGCCAATTATAACAATATTTGTCAGCATAGCAGTCATTCATCAGATTGAGAAATTACCTTATTTCTAGATGGAAAAAAAGTTTTATGTTGGGCTGAAATGCAAATTCAACATAACATCACTATCAAAATCTGTTTTCTTTCAGGATTTGACAATTTTATTTATGTTCTTATTAAAAGAAAACTGATTTATTTGTTTGTGCATATTTGACATTTCAAAATGATAGCAAAACCAAACAGTCATTGCTCTACTTCTTTTAATGCTTGAATTAATTTTGTAATTATTTCTAAATGCCCATCAAGATCCATCACAGTTAGACTTGATGCTGCAAATTCACTAAAACTGTTTTACATCTATTAGCAATAATCAATATTTTGTATCAGATAAATATGGCACAGTAGAATGTTAAAGTTTTGACTTTTACTTGCCTTTATGGCCCTTGCTTCATGTTAGATGCACATTCACATGCTAACACATTATTTATGTTGATTTTTTTTGATAAGAAGGTAAACTTTTTAGCCGCCTAATAACTGAATTTCATTGACATGAATGGGAACAAATAGTTTAATGTGTTGCTAAACAGAGGGATGATAAATATCACCTGGTTTGCTTCCTTTAGACCCTCAGCAGCAGCAGCCTCCAGCCCAGGACTCTCCTGGGGAAAACTCAGAAGCAGAAAAAAGAAATAAAGGCTACTTTTCTTGGATATCAGGTAAGATTGAGTCAAGAATGAATACGGTGATAAAATGTAAATTATACGACATGGAACTGTTCTATATTGCAGTCTTTCTGGATTATTCTACATCATAAATTCAGCTGAACTTGGTCATAAAAATGAGAAAATCTGTGATAAATTGTTTGCCTCAGCCATTATTCACATACATTCGGTCATCTGTACGTTTTCCTCTCTGTCCCAAATACAGACAGGTTGATTTTTCAACATACAATTAACTTACTTTTCATCAACGTTAATGTCAGATACAGTAAAGAATGTTGTTTGATAAATGGTTGATGTAAAGATAATGTCCTGGGGGGCTGGGTTGTCCCGGATCTTAATGACTCAATCTGAGGAGTCAGCTCTAGTACATCTGTACTTGTGGGAGTAGGAAGCCACTGAAAAGTCTAGTTGACCTGCAGTAGTTGTTTTGTTTTTCTTTTTTTGGGGGGTGTTGGACGCACTGCTTACTTATGAAACTACACCAGTACTTCAGGATGTGCTCTGTTGTGCAGAAGTAAAAGGGTTTCAACAGAAATTGGAGGAAGTTTCATCTTCTAAAGGAAAAAATCTGCTGCTGGACTTGGTCGGCCTCAGCAGATGGCTGCTCACACTGAGCCTCGTTCTGCTGGAGGATTCTTCCTATTAAAAGGGAGTTTTTCCTCACCACACCTCCACGAAAGCTAATCGGCATAGAAAGTTAATCTTAAAAGGCCTCCGATACGCAACTGTCTGCTCCTGTGCGCAGGCTGCGGATGTGCTTTTTGACTTCATTTAGATGACACCAATTTAACCCCCCTCCAGCCCCTCAACCACCATCGCAGCTAAAGCTTCATCAGAGTGTCATTCCTCTTGGACTCTTACTGCGTTCCCTGTCTCATCTCAACCGGTCTGGCAGAAGACCACCATGTTGAGCCTGGATTTGCCAGAGGTATCATCCTAATGGGAGTTTTTCCTCTCCACTGTCGCTTCATGCATGGACAGGTTCTCTCAACCTGTTTTATCCAAACTGGGCTTCCATCTTCCAGGTCCCTGAGTGAAGCTCTAGTATCAGCTCATGCAATCCACTGGATCTCTCCATAAAGCTCAGCATACCGTCTCGCTAATCAGCAGTCTACAGACTGACCAACGTCATATATCTCCACTCCACCACCAGTTTCAGGCCTGGGGGTAAACAGCCCTATTCTTTGCTCCTGTTCATGCATATCTATCAAAATTAAGCGCTATGTTTCCTGCCGAGGTCTGAGCACCAAAAAAAAACTAATTATATAAATTAATTTCTCCTAATTGTCTTTTCTCTTCGTGTGAGTTTTTCAGATTGAAGTGTTTTTAGATGATGTGTTGTGAATTGCCGCTATGCAAATAAACTGATTTAAATTGAATGAAGCCCAAAATTCTTCACAGCCTTGCACATTTTGATTTTAAAACAGCTTCTTTGACGTTTGTTTCTGAAAAAAGGGATCAAAGCATCTGTCAGAAGATAACAGTACTGCACAATGAAAGAAATAAAGTATCTCTGTTTTTATGATTCATTACAAAATAACATGACAAAATTTAGGCAAATACCGACATCTGCTGGAGCTAAAACTCCTTGTAGCCCAGACAAGTCAATCTTTTTATCTGTTTACTACAGGCCATAGATGAAAACTAAATTTTTATATTATTCTTGTGTTTCAGGGAAGTCTGTCGCCATTGCAGGAGGTACAGGTATGATTTAAGTTTGAATTTTTAAAATTTTTTTTATTATTGTGGCCTCACTCAGATCTGCAACCGTAAGAGAACGTTTTTACTAGGGAAATAAAACTGAGGTAACAAAGTATGACCTGAATCATTGCACATTAAAAGTATAACTTATAAATTACGATCACCAAAGCTTCAAAGGTCGAAACAAATATTCATAAAGTTTGTATAAAAGTTCTAAAAGATGCATTTATTTCAAGATTCAGATCCCCCTACTTTGGGAGCCACTGCATACATGCTCTACTTTGAAAGATGTCAAATATACAATATCAGCTTGGTGGCAAATGGTCAGAAATAAGGATTTTATATAATTATTTGTAAATACCACAAATAAATTGGTCTATACTTTGGGTAAATTACCTGGACAATAAATAATATAGTTTTACTTCTGCAAACAAGGTATTTAGATTAAAACTTCAGAAATGTTTTCTATACAATTGCATCAATCTAGGACAGGTGTCCAAACGGTTTATATTTCTACATTCGGAGTGATTATTTAAACTTGTAAACATTTGAGAAATTAACCAATCTTCTGCAGGAGTTTGACATTCCATGAATTTCAAAACAAGATCAGGACTCATCAATGCACCGATGGGGAATATGGAGAACCTTTCTAAAAGTATCGCAAGACACCTTAGGTTTGTGAAATGCAGTTAAATTAACCTGAATTCTTATGGATGGTCACTGTCCTTTGAACAGTCGACGCTAAAACAGAAAGGCTTCCTCATAAACTTCAGCAGCATGTTTGTCAAAAACCAAATGCAAAAAATTGACAAAAATACTATCTGTTACTAATTGAGCCAATGATCAGTGAGGGAAATAATGTACATCTAAATGTGAATCATGTATCTTTGACAGCTGGTGTTTGGTCTAAACTGGATCACTGACAAAATAATGATTAAAAACAAAGCATCCTAGAAAAGAACAAACTATGAAGAAAAAGATGTTGCAAGTGTTAAGCACATTTTAATGTTAAATATTTCTTGTTCTTGAGTGATGGGAGGACTGGGTGCGGTGGCCTTGGCTCCTGTGGTTCTGGGAGCCATTGGTTTCACCTCAGCTGGGATAGCAGGAGGCTCCTTTGCTGCAAGCATGATGTCTGCTGCTGCCGTTGCCAACGGAGGAGGGGTGGCAGCAGGAAGTCTGGTGGCCGTTCTACAATCTGCAGGTACATTGGCTGGATTTAACTGAATTACTGCAGAAATCAAGAACAAGTAAAGTTCTGTTAAAAATAGGAGCGGTTTAGCATCACTAACTATTTCAATGTCTTTGGTTGGGATCATATTCCTAGTTTGCTGGTGAAGATTTTCAGTCATCCAGGTCATAGTCATTCCAAAAAAGTCAAAAACAATCCACTGCACTTTGTTTCCAGGTTTGAAGACGATCCGCTTCCCATCCAGGAAGGTTTTTCAATTCAAAATGTCAGAAATAGGGTTGAGTTTGAGGCTTCATAGAGTGGACCAAAAAAACAACAACACACAACAACAGACACATTTATAATTTGGCATAAAAATTCCCAACTGAGCACTTTAAAGTTAAATCTAGGATCTAGTAGGCTACTTTAAGCTTAATCTATGACACAACCAGCAAATACACGGTCTGGCTTTGTTAAATTTAGTTCAGGTTGCACCCATCAGAGTTCATCTGTTGTTTGAACATTTGAAAAAACTTGGAGATGTTTGGTTTTCTGCAGGTGCTGCTGGTCTCTCAGCGACCGCCTCTGCAGCTGTGGCCAGTGTTGGTGCTGGCATTGGTGCTGGTTTTGGAGCTGCTGCAGGAAGTCTGGCAGGCAATCCACAGGAGGAGAAAGAGAAGGCGGGAGACAAGGAAGAGAAGAAGCAGGAGGAGAAGATGATGAGAAAGGATCAGATGAAAGGAGAAAAAGATAGTGATGATAATGATGATGATGATGATGAAGATGAAGGAAAAGGAAAAGAAATTGTCCCATACTAATTTTTTCAGAATTTCTTAAATGTTATAATGGACAGAGGTGCATCAGCCTCTCATTAAACAGCCTGCAGTTTCCCTAAACTTCGCAGCTATTTCCTGAAGCTTTGTTGGGAACCTACGAGTTCATCTGTATGAGAGAAAATATGTTTCTGTAACGTTAACAGTCCAGACCTTCTCATTTAGCATTCAGCTTTACTACAGTGAAAAAATAATTTCTACCAAAGCCTGAGCTTTTTATCCAACTTAAAATTGATTTCACCATAATCCTGTATTCTCCTTTGTACTTTTTCCACACAGTGTTGTAAGATTTCCAAGAAATCATCATAGCTACATCTCCTGCACAGACAGAAACAAAGCAGTGATTTGATTGATTGATAGATTAAGCCAAATTCTTAAACATTATGGAGATAGATCATTAACATAAAGCCAGTTCACGTCATACCAGATCATTTCATTTCACAGTGCATTTGTTTGATTTAAAGTTCTCAAGAGAACGCCTCTTGTTGAGCGATTGCTTAGCTTATCATGGTTTTAAAATATTTTTGCAATTAAACAAAGATGAAAAAACAATGACTTCTTTGAATTTTTCTTAATGATTGATTCAAATCTCTTTAGGATGTGTTTTTGTTTTTCTTCTACTGATGGGTTAGTTTGATATATGTTGGCAAAAGGGGAGATAATGAACTTCTTGTGTTTTGGAAACAAATATTGTCATTTCAGAAGGTGTGGCTATACTTCAGCTTTATATGCATATTATTAGGTTAATATTCCAGCAATATCCTGGCAAGTTCTGTAAAGTAATCCCAACTTCTGTGAAAGAACAGAAACATGTCTTGCAACTGAACACAGTAATCTGAACACTATGAGCACTTTAGGTCTTATGTTTATTGGTCCCCTAAACTGAATCAGATATTGGAGAAACGATTCCCAGAAACTCTGTCTATTGATATTGATTCACTGAGCAAATATATAAGCAGTTCACGTATATTATGTCTCCAACTTATGTACACAGTGACAAAAGTTTTTTTTAGCCATGAATGATGAGCAGGAAGCTCCTCATTTAGAAAATACAAACAGCAACATTCAATATAAAACAATCAACAACATAGATATTTAAAGCAAAATACAGTATTTCAGTTGCATTAGATGATCATTTTCATTCCAGAACCTATTTATTAGGACATGTGTAGAGTTCAGAAAAATAGTTACTAATAAATGCTTATGACTGTTTTGCACCTTAACAATACATTGCAAATCAACATATTCTCATTATCAGTGCGTATGAAATCGTACGAAAAGTTATGCACACTATTTCGTACGTTTTGGACGTTTTTTCCTCAAATCAGTGCGCATGCGCTGGCAGACAGAAAAAAAAAGCAGATCCGCGGACGGACGTAAAAATGGGAAAAACAATGCAATCATCACTTATTCATGTCTCTAACTGCGTTGCTTGCTGTATTATATCTTAGGGTTTGGGTTAGGGTCAGGGTTAGGGCTAATTGTAATTTATATTCTATATCCGTGAATGTTGCGTCAGATGCGCATACGACGGAAAAAACGTCCAAAATGTACGAAATTACGGTGCATAACTTTTTGTATGATTTCATACGCACTCATAATGAGAATAGGTTGTGCAAATGCTTAATATCTATCTATCTATCTATCTATCTATCTATCTATCTATCTATCTATCTAAAAAACAAAAACTGAGAGGTGAGTATTTATCTAACACACAGACATAAAACATACACCTTACACTACCTAAAGATCATCAAGAGATAAAGACTATTAAGTCCTCCTGTGCGGATTGGAGTTTGGACATTTTGAAACAATAATTAGACCGCTTCAGCCTGGATGCAAAAGGCACAAGGCAGACAATACTACCTACCGACAGCAATACACACTTACAAGTGATTAATAACCCCATACATTTAATTTCCCTCTGGATTAATACAGTATTTTAGATAAACATTTCTACAGATACAAATGTAAATTGAATGTTTGATTAATCAAAAATATTCAGAGGATTGTACATTTGAATTTTTACAATAAATGAAATATGGTCATTAGCAAAGGTTAATAGCATTATGAACCTTTGACACAATTTTGTAGAATCTTGACTTTGATTTGGTTTATTGATATTGAAATCACTAGTAGAAACACCCTTAGAAAATGCACAAGACCCTGTCTGTCCGTCCGTCCGTCTTTTTAGACTCAAATAAAACTTTGTTCTCTAAACACTAACCCTCTGTTTGCGCATTTTATGTATGGTCCCCCCTATTAAGGGCCATTCTAAACCATGAAGTTGGTTAGGGTGAATGGATCGTTCAGAGTCCTGCATCAGTGCAGATTCACTGGAATTTACTGTAGCAGTGGGGCTAATGGCCTACATTCAAATTTTATTTGAATGTTAAATTGTATTTTGAAATGTTTGATGTCATGTCAACCTGCACCACAGTACTAAAGCCATGCTCATGGGGCATCACTGTGTTGTCATTGCAAAGATTGTTTTCCTTTTCAGTGAAGGGAAGAGGCTGTCCAATTCTCATTTGTCCTTCCCTCCCATCTTGGGTCAAGGCATGCTCTAACCGCTTTGAGTGTTACTTCATTGGGAGGGACACTCCATTTTAAGGGGTAATGTTTAGGGGCCAGTTTGGGATTGGGCCTAAAACTAGCTAGAACTCCTACACTGTAAACAAAGGCAGACAATGGCATCAGCTTTGCATCAATGGACACTTCAGCTATTCCAGCTGAGATTAAGTCATGAAGCCAGAATAGCCAGAGTAAAAACCACAGTAGCTTTATCTTTGCACAAAAAGCATAACTCAATGAAGCTTTTAGCTTTAAAATAATTAATGGCAAACTTGGGATATATTTCAAATTAAAGTCAGGGAATAACATAACTTACTTGCACCTTTAATGATGGATTGCCTGTGTATAGTATAATGTGGATTTTTTTCTGCACAGTACTTATATTTGTAAAAATACTGTACAGTATAGTATTGTTTTTATCTAAACCGTCACTTATTCTATTAATTTTGTACACTCATAAGGTCTACGTGTGTGACCACTTTTGCTGTTATGCTTTTGCTGCTGCAACACCACAATCTCTCTATTGGGGGACAATAAAGGGATTTTCTGTTCAATTCTATGAAATATAAACAGCAAAGAGAATACACAATGTAGAGAGAGATTTGTTGCCCCATGTTTGTGACTATGACAGTAGTTATTTTTCGATGTTGTTTGGATGATGTAAGAGTGAGGCTGTGTTACCATACAAGCTTTCATTTCTCA